CTTTTTTCTTTTTTGCTTATGTGGTGCTGAGGAATCGAACCCAGGGCCTCGAGCATGCAAGGCAAGCGCTCTACCACTGAGCCACCTTCCCAGCCCCTGATTATATTTTAAAGTCTCATTAATATTGTAACTTTATATAAGAATGTCCTTTCTTGGCTGAATGATAATTCTTTTCTTTTTCTTTTTTGTCGGTCGTGGGGCTTGAACTCTGGGCCAGGGCGCTGTTCTTCAGCTCTTCAGCTCAAGGCGAGTGCTCTACCACTTGAGCTACAGCACCACTTCCCTGAATGATAATTCTACTAATGTACATACCAGTTTTTTCCACTCAACCATCCCTAGGACACTAGGTTGCTGCTACTGTTTGGCTATCATGAATAACGCTGCTGTACAGGGGTATACAAACATTTCTTTGAGGCTCTGTTTACAATTCTTTTGGGTATATAGCCAGGAGTAGACAGGAGTAGAATTCCTGGATTATATATTAATCTAAGATCTAAGACTAGGACTCAGACTTGGTTCTTGACAATGTTGCTCATTGGCTGGCACTTTCTACCAACTGAGCCATACCTCCAACCCCATATGCTAACCTTATTTTTTTTTTTTTTTTTTGAGAAATTTACATACCGTTTTCCACAACTGCTGAAATTTCCTCAATTGTACATTCATAGCAACAGCATACAATCATTGACAAGAATTGTTCTTTTTTTTCTATACCTTTCACTTTTGTCAAAGGCTGGCCTTAGACTGTAATCCTCCTACCACTACCTCCTGGGTTGCTGGGAATTTAACCATGTATATATAGCTATGCCTAGTTTGTTCTTTGTGATACGGTCTTTCTGTTTTTGGCCTGGGTTGGCCTCAAGCTATAATCCTTCTATCTTGGCTTCCTAAGTGGCTGGGGTTTCAGCCTAAGTCATCTCAACTGGCTAACTAGCCAGGAAACATTAAGCAAGCAAATTAATGTCTTTGAGCAGCAGTTTCCTTTTGTTTGATGGAAATAAGTATTGTAACTAATGAACCACAGAAAGATACTTGCACCCTACAACTCATCCATATGAGTTTATGTTGATGATAATATAACTGTGTAATAGTTGTAGGTACCAACTCTAAAAAGATACTGTTTTTGTGAGGGAATGATAATAACCAGTCTGAAGCTAGCAAGGTCACAGTATTATCTGAAAAAACAGTAATTAGTGCCCATGCCAAACAACACAAACAATTCACATCAACAGTATGAGATTACTATTAAACCTAAAGAGAAAGAGAAGCTCTTGAAACTGATCAAATAGGAATTAAAAATTAGACCTAATATTCTAACCTGCTGCTATTTATACTAAAAGATAAAATGACAAGATACTATTCCAACTAAGAACTAAGAACTAAGTCATGGCTCTCAATTTTCTAGAGGCAGCCAAGACCATAACTAATCACCAAAATAACAAATACAGAGGGAGGAAAGTTATGGAAAATGGTGATATTCAAGTCAAGGAGGAGACAGGCCTTAAAAGACTAACCTTACCAATACTTTTATTTCAGACTTCTAGTCTCTACAATTTTTTTTTTTTTTGGTCAGTCGTGGGTCTTGAACTCTGGGCCTGGGTACTGTCCCTGAGCTCTTCAGCTCAAGGCTAGCACTCTACCACTTGAGCCACAGGGCCACTTCCGGTTTTTGAGTGGTTTATTGGAGATACAAGTCTAACGGACTTTCCTGCCCTGGCTGGCTTTGAACTGTGATCCTCAGATCTAAGCCTCCTCAGTAGCTAGGATTATAGGTGTGAACCACCAGCACTTGGCTTAGTCTCTACAATTTTGAAAAAAATAATAAATTTAAGTTATATCCACCAAATGGACAAAGACGTATATTTTAATGACATTCAGGAATAGTAGGCAATAGTTTCATTGATCATTCAATAAAGAAATTCTCCAATCAGTTTACCAGCTTCTCCAGGGTCATCTTCACGTAACATAACAGCACTGAGATTTACGTCCTCCGTTATGTTGTGGGCTTCCATGTTTGTGAAGAGCCCTAGCCGCTGTGATGAGAATGCAGCTGCCCAGTTGCTGTCATCCAGATTAGTTACCTTAATCAACACAGAAAAGTGATAGCTGTTGTCACTGTATAAGAAAATACCTTAATACTAAATAAGGTTTAAAAAAATGTCGAGGCTCAAGATTTTTTAAAAAAAGTGAAATTAAAGGCTTTTGTGTGTGCATGTGTGAACTAGTCCATGTATATGAGAAACCCAATGAACACTACATTTAAAAAAAATTGGTGAGCCGGGCGCTGGTGGCTCACACCTGTAATCCTAGCTACTCAGGAGGCTGAGAACTGAGGATCGCAGTTCAAAGCCAGCCCGGGCAGGAAAGACTGTGAGACTCCTATCTCCAATAAACCACCAGAAAACCGGAAGTGGCGCTGTAGCTCAAGTGGTAGAGCGCTCGCCTTGAGCTGAAGAGCTCAGGGACAGTGTTCAGGCCCAGAGTTCAAGTCCCACGACCGACAAAAAAAAAAAAAATTGGTGGGCTGGGAAGGTGGCTCAGTGGTAGAGTGCTTGCCTTACATGCATGAGGCCCTGGGTTCGATTCCTCAGCACCACATAAGCAAAAAGAAAAAAGC